AGATTTTGATTTACATCAAAAGTGTTCAATTTAACAGGTGCATTTGAATTTGTAAAATGCAACCTCCGGAAGGGTAAGTTATCTTATAAAAGGTAATTGACATTCTGTATAAGTTGCCCTAGTCATTCCACAGTTCCAGGTGTTATTTTGTGGAGCCCATGTCTTGCCACATCACACGTGGAAATGACTTTGACAAACCTGCAAAAGTAAAATCTTGGACATCTTTCTTTCGGTCCATGGACTCTAAAACAACAAGAATTTGCATTGTCGGGAGCGTAAAATTGGTTATTTTGAATGCCGTCTCTTGTATTTTTCATCTGCCTCTTGTACACAGAGTTACTGAAACCACTGAATTGTATAAATCTGAGGGTGTCCTGAGATGTCCAAAAGAGCCGTTTTCCCAATGAATTTTTCTCTTTTTTATTATTGTATAAATCTGAGTGTGTCCTGAGATGTCCAAATCAGTAAAATTATCATGTTAAGTTTCTGAATTGTTTTGATTTAAAAAATGGGGTATTTAAAAGTTGAGTTATTAAGGTCAGAGGCATAAAACTTACTTCACAATAAATTGAAAATATGTTTCATAATCAAGCAATCCATAAAACCTCAAAAAATCATTTTCAAAAGTGTGATATCACCTAAACCTGAACACTTGTTCAGTCAATGCTCCTATATGCTAAAGCATCATTTGTATAAGTATCTTAAAAAATATAGTAATTATTACATACTTTGAAGCAAATGCAAATATATATGCAAAATGTGGACATGCACAACACAATATTAACAAGGTTAAAACAGCACCGAACAAAATAAAATATGTTAATTTTATGTTTTATTTTTCTCAAAAATTTGTTGGACTGTTTTATATACATTGTACACATTTATATACAAAATGATACATAAGAACACATTAGGTGCTGAATGTTGATAATAAAAACTAATATTCAAATAAAACCAATCACTGTTTTTACAATATACCATTGTTTAGTGTTGAATGTTGATGCTGTGCTACAAAAATGGCCAGTATTAAACCATGGGCTTTCAATGCCTAAGATTAAACCAAGCTTGTATACTGTTAAACTTCCCCTATATGTTAATTCATCTAATAGTGTATGTTATTTTGAAATGTTTCCATTTAACTCTTTGAACACTGATATCAAATGAAAAAATTTGTAATCAGGAATGTGCTAACTAGACTCAGATTTTGTGAACATTGCAATTTAACTGTATGAAAAACAAAAAGCATCTCATTTGAGACAATTTTACAATAAAGTCAATATAAGCATGATAATTATTTCATTCCTAAACAGCAGTTTATTACTAAAGTATGGATGTGTAAAAATGCCAACTTGTACTGAATTTCTATGATTCATTAACTAGTGTGGAAAAATAATCAATTCCCATTTTACAATGAAAACGTATCTTGAACACTAGTCTATCTTGCACAATGGTATACTCTAAAGTTACCTTAAATATATCAAATGACTTAATCCTTCTGGAAGGGAGGGTTACCTCCAATAATGTAAAGTTACCTTTTATAATGAAGATATACCTTCAATAATGAAAAGTTACTTTCAATCATGAAGAGTAACCGCCAAGAGGAAAGTTACCTTCAATAATGAAGAATTATCTCCAATCATAAAGTATTACCTTCTATTTTAGGATAACCTTCCATAACGAAGAGTTTCCTACAATAAGGAAAAACTTCACAGCCAGAATATCTCTGTATGCAAATTAGACACATTAATACTATTTGAACAAAAATATCACAACTAAAATCTTGTTATTCCTGCATTGCAACCATCCACCATGAAGATATTTATGGACTTATTCGAACTAGTTTTAATAGTATTATGATTGTGAAAATAAATAAATGCTGAAGTAATTTTACAATGGGTATATACACTACATGTACCATTCACATTAGGATGTTCTGTTATAATGCTTGTTATATATTTTAATATTTCATTCAAACATAAGCTCAGTGATATAATTAATACTTAAAGTACATGTATAATGGGACATATTTCTTTCTGTAAATCATTGAAATAATCATTATCACACTAAAATTAATTTTGGCTTTGCCAGACATCCCTTCGTCAATAATTCTTTCATTAAAATCCATTTTACATTACATTCCTATTACTCACATTATGTGAGTATCTGCTAGACTCACATGTTGAGTAAGTTCATACTGAGTAGTAGAAACTATGCCTCACATGTTTAGTACATTATAGGCTTCCACCAACATGATGACAATGAGTGAATGTTCACATGTTGAGTATTTAATATCACAAACACATTGAGTAAAATTAACCCTCACATGTTGAGTAAATAAGGACACTCAAATGCTCAGTAAACATGTACACTCACATGTTGAATATAAACATGTACACACACATGTAGACTAAACATCTTAAACTCACATATGTTGAGTAAACATATCCATCAACATGTGAAGTAAACATGTACATTCACTTTATGAGAAAACATGTACAATCACATGTTGAGTAAAAATGTTCACTTAAATGTTGAGTATAAACATGTACATGCACATGTAGACAAACATTTTAAACTCACATGTTGAGTTAACATGTACACCCACATGTTGAGTAAACATGTATACTCACTATATGAGTAAACATGTACACTCACATGTTGAGTAAAAACGCTGAAAGAAAACTTGTACTCATACCAGTGCAATGTTTAACTTACATGTGAAAACACTCATAGTCAACATACACATATACAAGAACAAATATGTACAGTTTGCATACATAAACTAACACTCAAAAAAAATTGCACTTCAAAAGTTGGGTCAAATATTTACAAAAATAAAATTACAATGAAAGCTAGCATTTGAAACAGGTATAAGATATATTTCCAAGCTTCATCTACACTATATTTTGAGTTTGTATTGAGTAACAAAATCAGCATGTTAAAAAAGTAACAAATCTAATCTGAGATAAACTCTAATTTTAGCAATTCTCAAAAAAATGTAAAACATATCAAATATTTTTCTTGTTTTTTCTTAAGTTCCATACTTCTTGTAAATTGATAACAACACAGATTCAAGGTCATTTACATTTTCAAATTCTTAACTGGACAGATGGGAAATGTTTGTGCTAAAGTCAATTTCAATCAATTAGCGTTTCTGTTCACAACTTCACATCTTTTTATACATAAAATGTTTGTCTATTGCTATTACACTGTCTCTGTTTCAAACAAAATACTGATTTGATATTTTTACTAATATCGGACTAATACTGAACAATGGATTTCTTTAATAATAAAAAATATCTGGGATTTCTGAAGTCTTTTGCTCACAGTACTAAAGTATAGAATGATGGATTTCTAAAATTATGTCCTCAATGAACTGACATTTAAGTTGCATCCATCACTCTAATTATCCATATTCTATGCTATTAATACCAGGTCTCTAGACACACTTTATTTTGAATGGTTTTATCAATTAAGTAATGATATTACATAATGAAAGCCAAGCAAAACTAACAGACAAATGCTATATCACACAAAATGGATGCATTGTGAACACAATTTGGGATGTTGAGCTTGTAGAAAACAACACATTCTCTGACTTGTGTTTAACTTGCAGAAGCGTTGAACTTTGTGACAAAATATTAGTTATGACAGATGTTACCATGACTACACATTTTAAAAAAAATCAAGGACACTTATTTTGAAGTGATATAACATAACATAACACATATTACATGAGTAGTGTATTATGTTGCCTAGACAATAAATGAAATTATAAGTGATATTTTACAAAAACTAGGCTATAAACAGACACAAATGTTTTTAGATAAAGCCATATTATTCGAATGATTTTAGTTCCAGAAATACACTACAGCATAGCGACTGAAGTATATATGACTCAGTTGTTAGTTGTGCACTTATGACAAAAATTAAACGAGGTATGTCAACACAAATTAAGAAGTTGAATTTCCACTGTCTTCGCCACTTCACCTTATCACATATACCTTATACATATATTTCAATCCCAACACCGATATAATAAGACTGCATTTTTAAAATTAGTTTGATATTTTGATAAAAAGCTCAATGATAACTGTGTATGTGTGAACAACCTCCATTTACCCTTTTCTGGTCAATGTGATTAAAAATGAAATCCACTTTTGAAATGAAAGGATTAGGGCAAATGGAAGTTTAAATAATACTCTGAATCAATTTGAAAATAAAATGCTGAAATTATTCAATAAGATAGTCGAGATGTCCTAGCTGAATGAGAATGTGTAGTGTTAATAGAACAGACCTTTTACATGGCTGTACTGCAGTGTACTGTACTGTACTGTACTGTATTGTATATGTCCTAGCTGAATGAGAATGTGTAGTGTTAATAGAACAGACCTTTTACATGGCTGTACTGCAGTGTACTGTACTGTACTGTACTGTACTGTACTTTACTGTACTGTACTGTATTGTACTGTTCTGTATTGTACTGTACGTACTGAAATGTACGATATGGTACTGTATTGTACTGTGCTGTATTGTACTGTGCTGTATTGTAAAGCACTGTATTTTATTACTTTCTCCATTAGTGTTTGTAATAAAAAAGCCACTAACACCCCAGTCACATTTGTCGTACGGAGGGCATCAACCGCAGATCAATTAAATCAGTGTATTTCTGCGGCGAGCGTAGGAAAACTACACTCGCCTTGCGGCCTCCGTACAGCGTATCCAGTTTTTTACAGGCCGCAGGGTCGCCGTAGAAATTATAACTCAGAGTTATAATATTTGTTCATTTCTGAGGTCCCGTAGAAATCAACTGGCTCAACAAGATTGAATCATTATTTGTCAATGTTTCACGATCACTTTTCATTTGATATTACATCCTAGCACTATGAATAACATTTATAAATTGTCCTAATGTGAATAAAATGAAAAAGTATTATTTATCAACAGAAATTTTAAATTCAACGTGTGGCTGCCGTGGGAAATGTGACTGCAAAAGTATGAGAGCGCAGAAATTCTACGGCGAGCGTAGAAAAGCTACTGGCCGCAGAAATGATAGACCGCACGGCGGCCGTGGGAAATGTGACTGGGGTGTAAGTTATGTATTAAACTCTCTTCTAATAAACTTCACATAAATGTCCTATTTTCTCATACAATTTGGAGTACATTGACTTTACACTTGTGTACCCCATTGCTTGTTGATTCTAGTCTTTTCCTCTTTATTTTACATTTTAAACCAAGAAATCTTTCTTAAAGCTAACAGCCAAGATTAAACATCTGGCATGATTCCAATATAAAGCAATTCATATGGAGCCTAAATGCAAATATTTAGGATTTATCATTGGGCACTTCTTTCATGGCAATTTGTTTGACACACTGTACATATTGGCTTTCCTCCCAAAGTGAATATATTATATCAGAGTTTATTGTTAATACATTGGGATTGGGCTGTATCTCACATGACATTATCTGACAGCCTATATTTAATTAATACACTAGGTCACTGTCTGAAAGCTTGTCTTTGGCTCACCCTGTATTTTGCTAGTTATCTTTGAAGACATCGAGGAGCTTGTATCTTGAGACACCTTGTATGTAACCAAAACAGTTTATAGGGCTAATTGTTTAGAGTTTTGGCTTGTATGGGCAGACAGGGGCTTGTATCGAAATCACCCTGTATTTAGCTTATACGCTAAGGCTTTGGGTTGTATCTGTAGACACCCTGTATTTATGAGTTCAATTATGGAGCACTTATTAATGATGGCAGTTTGTATTTCTTCACTACGGTATTTTGTGTCACCCTGTATGCTAGCTCTCTTCAAATGATATCAAGTTCCCAGGTGGCTGAAAATATATGCAAAAACATGTTTTAAAGATAAATTGTTGAAACAGACCAAATGTATATCTGGCCATGCATTAAAGGGAAGTCAGCAATGTGCCTCTTCACCAGTTTGCTAATATGGATAAGACAAAATATGGAACTTTTTCAATGAATATATATATTTTTTACCCTACTATAGTCCAAAAGTAAGTTCCAAAGTACCGGCATTTGATTTGGTTTTCAAAAATCTACATAACAAGTGAAGAAAAAGAAAATATCTTAAGCGCCCGACTGTGTCAATATTTCCATTATACTATGAAGTTTATCACAGTAGCTGTGAAGTTTATCCAGCAACTGTGAGGCTTACCTTGAACTCATCGGCCTTAGTAGCAGCTGTTAAATGTTTCACCCACTCCAGGGCCTTGGCTTGTGTACCTGCCCTTAGTTTGTATACATTGCCTGAAACAAACATTCAGTGATTAAATCCTATGACAAATACAGAGAATAAATTCGTAAATAGGTAATGAGATTTCCCCCCAGGTATCAAGAAAAAGAACAACAAAAAGCCAACAAAAAAACAAAAAAAACTCTTTTGAAGAAAGACATCACGTTTTATTGCATTCAAACTTCTGTGGAGCACTAGCAACAAGCAGATGACAAGGTTGCCATAGCGTAATTAGCGGTTTAAGTGTGCTTGGATGAACTGCTTTTAATGAAAATTGAATAAAAATACAACAGTTCTGAGTGATTTGCTCAAACTCATTTCACTTTTGCCTTGAAAATTACTTTTAAATCACCCATTGGTCTTACTGACTGCAATATATTACTAGATAAATTGAGTAAAACCTCTAATCCCATCTATCTTTCTATCTACATATATTTGTATATTAATGAAAACAGTGAATGAAATCCTGTGCATTTGTTGAAGGTTGTAGTTTGAAAGATCAGAATTTCAACCTTTATTTTCCCATGTAAAGTTCTGAGCTCCATGTTTATGAACCACAATGTTTAGTAATAAAAGTAGTGAATCTTTCAGCCCAGACTTTACTTACCTTTGTTAGAGTCTGTTATAGTGAATGCATCAGGTTGCATGGGGTTGTCTCCCATGACAACCATCCACCCTACAATACTAGTCATCTTGCTGGGGTTGGTCTTGAACTGAAAATAAAACATTTTATATGAAAATAAGAAAAATCAAATTAAGTTGTGCTCAGGGGAGAATGTTCATTGAAGGTTGAAAGATCAACAATGGTAACAACCATCCACCCTGAAATTAAGTAAAACCAGACTAAAGTTTTAAGTTGTTTTGTTTCAATAGTTTTCAGTTCATGATGTGCATTAAATATTTATAAAATATCATGCTCATTTTAATTTCCAAAACTAAAGAATTAGTTTGGGAAATACAATTTAAACTATTCAACTATTTTACACTTTGAATCACATTAAAACAATGCTATCCAGATACATACATCTGTGCGTTCAACTCCTTTTAGTGTCTTAGCAGGATAATACAGTAGTGACGTTCCCCACAGTGCTAACCAATAACGTGTCCAGGACGACACTGATGGCTTTTTACCATATTTGAGCAATGTCTTCCTCTTAAGGCAACCCTCACAGGAATAAGATGCCTCGTAGAAGTCGTTATCTTCTCGGTTCTTTGCAGGCCAAAATGTACAAGAGCTGGTTTTCTCTATGGGAATCTCTTGCTCCAGAACGCCATCACCTGGAACATTTTGTATCAGTTTAAATACATTATATCCATTCATGTTACACTGGCATAAACAAAACACAACAATGTCGGATGTCAATGAGTTGTTTCTGAATCTTATTGAAAATGTTGGACATCCAAAAACAATATGTCAATGTCAACTGTAACTATTTTGTTTCCATGTACAATTTTGGTGTGCATTGGTCAATCTTAAATTGGGACTACATAGAAATACTGACCTGGCCCCAATGCTATATTCACTAAAAAGTACATAAACGTTTAAGATGTATTCTCATACTCACCAGATGTAGCACCAATAGATTCACCACTTGATGCACATGGTGACTCCTCTAGTACACTGTCATCTAATAGATGGCGCTGGGTCTGTGTATGGCCCTGTGGGAGACTAGATGTTCGATCATATGGATTAGTGTTTGCCAAGAAACTGAAAAAATGAACAATACAGTGTTATACGATTTTCTAAAATTGTCAAAATACCATTGAAACAGCAATTTCTTTGATTTGTGAATTACAAGATAATACCTTCGGAACAATTCTTAAGTGGATGACATATTTCAGTTGTGAGTTTTAATGTGCACTTTATGTTTATTTATCTGGATCATCTAACAAGAGGATTCACCTGAATTTTCTGACACAGAGGATCATCTCAAATAGATTGATGGATCAGAAAGACATCATGTTTTAAGGAAATCTGAAAAACTGAGCCTAAAAACCTGGCAACCCTAATGTAAGAGGAGTGGAAATTTATAAATTGTTGTCACTTACTTATTCCCTAAGCTGCGAGTCTTCCTGTGACTGGGGACGAAGGTGGAACCCCCAGGGGTGGAGAGCTGTTTAGCCTGGTCAATATTGGTTTGGTTTGGGGGTGGGGTCTGGGGGATATATGACAGGTCATCCTTGGACCTGTTTAGGGAGTTAGAGCCACTACCAGCAGGTGGCTCAAGTTTCAGTGATAACCTACAACAATGAATTATTACAAATAAAACAGTTTGAATAGAGATTCAAGATTTTATTGTGTGTCAAGCCAAACATTGGCTTCCTCATAAAATCAATTACAAAATATAGAGTGATCATTTTGTTCTGGCCCTCACAAAGTGGTATCCATTTTGGACCATCAGACATATCTGGGCTTAAATGTCAGTAAAACCCAAAGTTGAATTATGCATGTGTACTTAAAATACACTAGCAGTGTAAGGAAATTAACTGCAATTCCTTATATATTTCCTTTGCCAAAATCTATCAACAGTTACAAATGTATCCTTACCTATAATTATCATCTTCTACAAATTTCTGCAATTCTTCTATATAGCGTACTGACTTTAAATAATTCTGGATGTAATCCTTCATCTCTACATCTGAAAATAGAACAAAAACACCTTAAATAAAAAATTACAATAGTTGGCAGTGAAGCATTCTGTTAGTGGTAAAGCCTGTTTGCTATATCACAGCCTTTAATCTAGTAACCACAACATGTTGTACTATAGAACGTTAAAGCCAGGGTTTGAATGCTGCAACAATGGTTTTTGCTCAAGCAATTTAGACAGACAGGCTATCAACTAGGCCACAGTAAATGCAGAGTTAGACAGTGGTAAAAACATAATTTGCAATGATTTAACATTGCTATTCAGCCCATTGCCCATTACTCATTTTAATTGGTTCATTGCGAAGTTTGAAAAGCAATTGCCAATGGCAATCAGTCAGCTGTGAGTTTCATACAATCACATATTATTTTGCTGATATAATTATCATTTTGATTCAAATTAAATACATCTCTATGACAACTCTAATCAATCACAAATATGAGTCCAGGTTACTTGCATAAATACATTGAGTATGGATGTCTATAATACATATTACAATTGTTACAAGACAGTTTTTGATTGAAGAAAATCATTTTTGGATACTGTTCAATATTATTTGTATATTTATATATATCCTGTATATAAAGGCATAGTTTAATTTCACCGTTGACATCTATAAAGGCTATATGAACATCAAAGTATAATTTTAAGGATGTTACATTTCAGGGTGTTAAGTTTGGTTCATTCTATTTCGTAGTCTCAAGCTACCAGCCCTTATGGTTTCCCATACACTTTAATGAAAGGTTTGCCACACTATAAAAGTACTCAAATCACAGTCGGAAACATACTATATTTAAAGAACACACACAAAGAAACCCTGTGTTATAGACTACATTCATAGAAGAAAAGCATATAGCAAGTTAAACTTCTCAACTTGAACACTCCTCTAAGATGAACACCTCTGTAACATGAACACTATTCATGGGTCCCATTTTATTCCTCCTATTGGTTCCCACGTTAAATCTGTCTCTAAATGAACATCTCGAACCCCACAAAAGCGTTTGCCTTGAATATTTCATAGTAGGTCTCCATCTTTAAGACTTTAAGAGCAAAAATAATTAGCTGATTCCAATAATTGTTACCTGACTATAAGTGTTAGTTCAGTATTATTTTCTTAATGAGCCAAGCATTATTCTACCCTTTCAATTCAGATTATTTCTATTCCTTTCAATACAACATCGATTGAGAAAGTGCAATGCACGAATCACATGTAAATCTATATTACGATTCGAACATGAAAACTCACCAAAATGTTTCGAATATTCATTGTGGTCCGCCATTACTATGGCCCGCCGTTACGACGTCACACATTACACGTATTACCAGGGGTTTTGTTCGCGAATATACCCTGGGGGAAATGTTGACTTTGTTTACAGTTTATGGAAGGCGTGAATACAGTCATGTTCGAATTTCATTTACATATATTTCATTACTTTCAGATTTCTCTCTTGTTTACTAAGTTGATATTGAAATATTATATCACTTTATTCATAGCTGGGTACCAATAATTATGCCATTGATTTAGTAAACCTAGAAGGCTTTTTGTAAAGAAGGAAAGGCTATAATTAGTAGCTTTCTTGAAAAGTCATGGCCACTTATGCTATGATTTGTACGTCTATAATTGCAATTATATTGACACAGAAAGATGTTGAATAGAATATACCAAAAACTTGAATAATATTATTGAAAATGTATCACTGGCTAAGTTACACATATTTAACACTAAAGAATATGTAATCTTACATGTAACTATTTGTATTTTACCACTTAGATTATTTACAACATTTTTATTGATTTCATAAAAAACAATGGTTTTAACAATTCATTTAAATATGGTTTTATTACTTTGATGTCACAAAATACAGCTCAAATGGATGACTGCTGAAGCTACAATATCAATGATGTCACTGACTGTCATTCTGATATTCTGCCCGCTCTCTTGAAATACATGTACACACTCATATGTCGCAAACACTTTAATCAACATCCTACTTTCATAACTGGCCTTCTATAGCGATGCATTGTGTTATTATTCACCCCAGGTAGCCGTGGATAAATGTATGCTACACCAGGTCAAGAATCAAGTTATTTATGTTTCTTGGTCAGAATATGTAGATGTAGAAAACATTGATTTTGCATCCAATATTGAATAGAACATTGTATATATTTGCAATGTATGTAATATCACTGCCAGTCATTGTGTTCTACTTCTAACTCTAGATTTGTTGTTGTTCTCACACTGACCCCTCGTTTTATCCCTGCACCTCTTGAAGGATCAAAGTTACTCATAGGGATATCCTGATGGATCTCATTCAAGACCAACATCGAGACACTCCTGGATGTCTGTGTACATGATGTATGGAGCTCTAAATCACTTCCTATTTTAGTTCTAGAGTCACAGGCACATTGGTTTCTCCATGGGAGAAGATGGTCGATTAGTTGACGGAATTTACGATTATGCATTCCGTAGATCCACGGTTGAATTCCAGTGTTTAAGAGAATTATACAGCTGAATGAGAAATTTAGAATTTGTGTACTTGAGGTCTGTTTGGAGTTGTCTCCAGGCACCCCAGCTGTAAGAGTTTCATTAGATACAGCTGTTAAAAGTTCATATGATGCAGCTGTAACAGCTTGTATTGGATCATTGAAAGGGTCAGCATCTGTTATAATTACACATGTATGTAAAATTTGAGGCAATGTCGTCAAAATATATACCAACACAATCAGAAATAAAATTTTAGCTGTTTTAAGATACGCTTTATGGATAAGCTGTCTATTTCTGTTACGGTATTCCTGGCTGTACGTTCTAATGACATCCAGAACTTGAACCTGTCTCATACGTCGATGTACTAATCCAAATAATCGAGCGTACGTTAAAATGGTAAAAGCAGTAGGGAGGAAATAGAACAGCAGGATCAAAGTAGCAGAAATCCATATATTCTGGCTGTTCCAATTTACGCCACACTCCCCAATGGAAAGATCAGAGGTAAATCCAATGTTGAATAAAAATGGAAATGTGCACATAATAATTCCATATATCCAGGAAAAGCCAATCAAAAACCCAGCAAGTTTCCACCTTAACTTATAATGGTAGTCGACAGGTCTATCGATAAACTTAAGTCGATCAAGTGTTAAAATGGCGATGGTTACTATAGAAACAACCATAAATAAATGATTTAAAAATCCAGTGATGTCACAAAATATTTTCGCATCAGCAAGTACACGAGAGTCAAATAAGGTGGCGGTGTTTGTAATGAGAGCCTGAAGTGCGATACAAAGATGTGCGATTGTGATGTTTATAATATAGCTGTTTGATATTGTCCGTAGTTTGCTATTCTGTATGGCTACTGTTACTATTAATGCATTACTGAATGATGAAAATAATGCCAGAAAAAGTCTCAAAATGACAACCAAAGTTAGTTTATCCAGATTTGAGACCATCGTTCTAGTGTGTCGAGTTCACGCCTCTTGTAATTCCTGAATGAAAGGTAAAGCATTCAAACTAATCTGTTTGTCTTTTTGTCTGACACATCCACTGGAAAGTAGATTGTTATTATGCTTATCATATGTATCGCCACTGAATCTATTTTATTTCAATTTTATTGTGTTGCATAAGATGATGTGAATGATGTTAACTTGTCTCAACTGATCATCTTGAAACTCATTAAATTATATCGCTCAACTATTATGCATTTACTTCTATGGCAGCTGTTACACTTTCTAACAGTGCATGTCACTTTAATCCTGATGTCACAATAATCCCTGATGTCATATCGATTATGATGTCACACTAATCCTCATAACGCTATGTCACATTAATCAGCAAATCAACATAACGCAACTTTGTTATTTTTAGATTTACCTTTTTTCTCAATAGTTCATCCAATAAGTTTTCTTTTTTTCTCACAATTTTGCTTGAAAGTTTGAAGGACAAACTGACATTTTCTTTCATTTTCTACCTGATTTAATCTGTTAATCTCATTATGACAATCCATCTTATGCTGAATGGATCAACCTTTAAGTCACCCGTGAGAAAAATGTCATTAGTCATAAATTTCTTTGGCGAAAGGAAAGGAGTTCAAAGGTGAGTCGAAATAATACAAAATAAAATGAACAATGACACAGCCTACTTTGAGTGAAACAATGTGAAAAAAAGAAGAATTAAAGTGATATTTAGAGAAAAATCAGTGTACAAACATGACCTTAATGTAATATTTCAGCAGGGCAGATTTATCATCAGTAATACTAATTGTTTTTCTCAAAGTTAAAATTGTCATTAGATAATTTGATAAATGAAACAAAGCATTACAAACTGCGCAGTTATATTCCTCACAATAAATGTCAAGATTATCAAGTTCCCATGTTAAAATCATATTTTGTCTCATAATAATGAACCGTGTTTCTCATTATAAAGTATATATATTTCTCAGCTTTTCCTCTTAGGCATTAAAAAACGTGATCAGTACAATGTATTACATGTATATTGGTACATCTTTGACTCCCTTTGTTCAAAGATCCCTTATAAAGTCCGATTTGCAATATGATATATACAGAATGCCATATCTAAAGGCATCATTGATTTTATATCATAAAATAAACTATTATTTTAACAGTATTGTTGTAATGTAACTGAACTTAAATAAGTAAAAATAAACAACCAAACCATGAATGTGAAATTCATCTCACTGTTTGTAAATACATATTATTATTTATTATCATTCACCAAACCTTTTTCCAAGATCATTATTAATTGATAAATCTTAATGTGAGAAATAATTCCTCCCTTTAATCCGTAAATACAAGGCTATAATGTCGCCTCTTATGCATTTTACTTTAGTGATGTATTGATAAGTGGCCCAATAGATTTTCTTACCCATCAATAAAAATACAATGGCTGATAATTTCCAAAATTACCAGAGTTGAATCGAGACAAATAAAACACACCTTGACACCTAACTACAATAAACACTATCTGGCATACAATATAAAAATTCCCGAAAGCGATCAAAACATTCAGAATTCATAAAAAGCTCAAAATGAGAGGATTTAAAGAATGGGTGCGTCTTGGGGAATCGATGAACGAATCTTTACTCACACAAGATAATTGTAATATATCCACCTTTGATTCTGAGCCCCCTGCAAATTATCTTCTCAGATATAAATAAATCTTAGTGTTAATAAAGTTCACGCAATAGGGAAACAAAAGACAGGTAAACACAACTGACAGAAATATGGCTTCCTCCCTCTGCAAACATTTACTTTCATTATTTCCCAGGCTCCTTCATGTTTATCAGTAGTGTGTTTTGTTATTTTATGTTATCATCAATGTGTGTATGAACATTAAGCGCACTGATTCTCAGACATTTCTTGGGATTTCTATGTTTTCCTAAATGTGAGAATTATATACTTTATATAATACAGGGTTTTCCACAGAATTTTTTCTCAAATGGGTCCAAAATTTCAATTTTCACAATTCAGTTCAAAATTGGTCAAAACATCATGATTTTTCTCATTTTCAAGTGGGTGCAAATGGATTTTCAGGAGGGTGCAAGCCAGTGTTTTCAAAATCTCAGGTGAGTGCTTCACCCAGTTGCTTTAATGCTGGGGAAAGCACTGTAATATTATATATTTTATACTAAGGGCAATCAAAGGACATTTGTACTTAAACATTGAGATCTAGGACCTGTCCAAACTATCCCATATCTAAATGAAAATACACAGTGTTCATGCCTATTTTATCCTAATTCTCACAAAAATGGAACACCACATTTCTGTATCTATACAAATTCATAGTGTTCACTACTTGTTGGTTCATCATATTCCTTGTTTATCCATTCTATTTCACATTACAAAATGTGATATTTATCTTAGGTGATTGAAAACAGTTATTTCCTCATTAAACACCGATCAATACTCTTAAGTGTGGAGTACAAAGAAGTAATTATGGAATTGCTCTCAAATGAAATTGCAAGATCATATTGCTATTCAAAAACATGTAAAAATAGCAGTTCCAGAGTTACATAGTAAAGATGTTGTCTCATCCTAGAAAATGTACATCTCAAGTTGAGATGAATAAATCACAATAAACAAGACAATTTAGCCCATTGGCTCAAGTAAATGAAAGAAGACATTCTTGTGTTTGCAAAATACTGATGATGCTACTAAGTACACTACATGTACAGTAAAACTTGTGTATGTGAATATCTCTCTCTCTACCGAGCCAATACCTTGAAATATAAACACTTTTAATAAATAACTCATTGTACTAAAGCAAGTTAGACGAAATGGGTTGTATAATGAGGTGCAAAAGTTCAGATATTATCATATTTCTGTGTAGAAGGCCAGTGGAAGATTTGGAAGATTAAACCCTTAATCAGTCGGATATCTACATCATTATGATTCACTTTTATTCTATGAATATTACTTTATTGAAGCAGCCAATATTTACAGGTCAAGCAATACGACAGAGGGAAACAATCTTGTTGAGACATGCCATCTATATGAAAACATCAAATATTTCTGCACATAAGACAATGCTATGAATCAGTTTAGAAAGAGACCATCACCATTTAGTATTCAGACCTAAATCTTCCTTTCAAAATAAATAACTGTTGGTTGTTAATATATAAACCTAAATGCTCATTCATCTCAACATTGTTCCTGGTATGGGCATATATTCAACATGGACTTACCATATAGTGACTGCTGGAACTCTGACACAACACGGAGTATGTTATTCATTTGAGTAGATCGCTGACGACTTTCTAGACCTCCAGAATGTGGATGGGCAACATCTATATATATTATATCAGTGAGATATAGACCTGTAATCAAATATAGCATGAATTTCTTAGTAGTTAAAAAACAGCACGAAAAGAATAGATGAGTTTCTTGCAAAGCATTATTCTATGCATGATGTGATGAAAACTATCACAGAAAGCAATGTTTGAACACTGAAATTTCCTGATATTCTTGTTCCAGCAAAAAATACTAAAATATTTTTAAGAATTTTAAACTAGCTTTAATAAGTTTATAAGTACTTGTGCAGCTAAAATAAATTAATGTTTCGAAAAATGTGTGCAACTTGAAGCACAAATGATGCACTGACCTAGGTATGGTATCACAGGCAGTTTCACAGTTTCCATGTAATCTCGTAATCGTTGCCGATTATTACCCTCCGAGAATAAATCAGCTAACTTCTCATAAGTTGAACGATCTTTACGACTCAGCATCTGTTAAAACAATTAAACATTATTGTATATTCTACAGGAGTATCTTTTTAGATAAAACCTAATGTATGTTGCGTCTATAATAAGGCAGCACTTTAAAGTTAATAGTTCTTTATGCATCCAATCAGTGTGATGTATGACAATATTATATTGCTTTTCTTTTTAAGGTTTTAATTAGACCGTTATCTTCCAAAAAATTCAAAATAAGATTCCTCTAAAATACATTCTGTCCCTTGTTGGGAGAACAAAGCCAATATTTAGTCTAATTGAGTCTTATCCTAATAGCTTAGAAGTGAGCCTCCCAGAAATGTAAAAATATTCTTATACGTTAACTCCAAAAGTCTTCTTATATGTCTAGTACCTATGTTATGTTATGTTATATTTATCTTCCATATTATGTTTATTACACACTCCCCCCAGTTTTCTGCAAGTTAAAATGCTTAATTCTGCAAGTGAAATTAGTGAATTCTGCAAGAAGAAAGGGCTAATTCTGCAGAAATTCCGCGGATATTCGCGGCATTTTTTGCGGTTATTATAAAAAAAATCAAGATTGGTTTAACAAGAACAGTATCATATATTCTAAAAACATGATTTGATAATCATATTCCTACATGTTAAACCCTGCCACAAACAAATTTGACCACTGAAAGTTCCATTTCCATGAAAATGCTGTAATTAATCAAATTTCACATTTTTCGAAACTTCAAACACGGAGGATCGGGCGCATAATGGGAATCACGATATATGTAAATCAGGTTTTAAGTGTAATATCTCATTGGAGTTCGAAGTTTTCGATCAATAACTTAAAGTAACTTTCTATCATTCCATCTAAAAATTAAAACCCTTGGAAATACTAAATATGGTTTAAGTCCCATATATAAAAATTTATTTTAGAAATATTGTGGATCAAAATGAAAACAAAAACAAAAATAAAGAATAAAAACATATTCCACCCTTGGGATTTGAACCCAGGTCTCTTGGAATAAAAGTCTGGTTTAGCCCAAAGCTCTAACCACTACACTAGAATGCCAGAGCTTTTTGAATGAAGAAATTCTTTATGTATATAATTATGGACGAAAAAAGTCTTATTTACATGCTTAAATTTCTTAAAAATGATCAGCATTACTACTAATAATAACATTTTGCATGTCTGAGTAAGTATTTTGATGTACATTTAGGATAAATGTTGTTTTATTCAGTTTTCATTTTGGGTATGACTTCCTGTCAAAACAGTGTTAAAAATGCAGGGCTCAACAAAAATTTTCAATAAGAAAATGATATATATCCTTTGATCAGCTATTTTTGGCACCTGAATTCATCCTACTAGAAAGGTAAGAGCATTTTCTTGAGACATATGGCTCGAAATCTCAAATTTCTCCTTCTAAGTCTTAGAAAGACACTTTAATAATATAAATAACTGTTATTAATTTATGTCTTTGTTTAACTTTCTGACGAGAACCGAAAGAAAAACTAATGGTTTTCGAACCAGTAAACGGGAAAATATCGTGATAGTCAGGTAGTCAGTCTCAGTCACTACATACATGCTGCCATCTAACGGCAGAAATCAAACGATGGCGTTTAGAATTTTCACTTCGCATAATTTGGGTTATTTCTGCAAGGGATTTGACTGAAAACGTGTCAAATTGTTACAGGTTAGACTGACTTTTTAAACTTTTGGAAAATATATGGATTCTGCGGAAAATTCCGCGGAAATTGACCAAAATAGTTGATTCTGCAATTCCGCGGGCAGAGGCAAATTCCGTCCGCGCTCTGCAAACACGGAATCCTGGGGGCAGTGATTACAATAACAACTCTTTAGTAAGCAGAAAATTGTTGATGTGGTATTCTAAATGTACAAGAGGGACTGAGAAGCCGACTGCCACAGCTCAATACTTTATGGTCTCTCCCATTTCGGCACCTGAGCTTGCATATCTACTCTATTGTGCCATAAAATATAACTGTACAATACTGTGGATTAGGTGTAGAATTGAGAGGTTTCCTGTACACATAGTAGAAACACTTACTGTCCATGTCTTTGTGAGTCTAAAGATTGAAGCACTCTGAAGTGCTGATAATACTGCCATAACTGAGTGGAGATTCTGTAGCTTTAAAAGCTCCTGAAAATAAAACAGTAAGTGGTCAATAAAATAAAAGATATTCTCTAATTTTCGCCTCTTATCTGAAAGGATTTGTATAAAAATATGACTTTTATGTTCCATTCGAAAATCATACATTTTCATAAACCTCACAGTGATAAAAGGGCTACATAATAATACATAAAAATTCTCATATATAATAGTGTTGAAAACAAGAGTTAAAATTTAACTGAAGTAAAATGTATTAATCAGTTGCATCCAAGTATCTAATACTTGTATTTTCAGCAAATATTGGAATTGTCATCTTAGCATTAGTGCCATCTTGTGTCTATTTAGAAGCATTCTTTACAGTTATACCAAATATACAATTTTAACATAATCATGAATTCCTTTAAGAGGTAAACCAGATCTACTGACTGTTACATCACTTATCACAAACTTCAAAGAAAGTCACATCCTATTTGTTATCTCATTGAGATTTATTTCACTTCCCATTAATCCTATAACTGATACAATAGGCTTTGAATATATCTGAGAATGAATAATGAATAAGATATCTACCTTTGTTATTCGTATAAAATGTGATAATGTTTCTGCACGTATCTTCATACTTTGAGCACTGAGTATTTCTTTTTGGACCCAAAAATTTACCTGCAATAAAACGATGATTTTATACAAAATGTCAACAATAATTTAACGAAGATTCTTATCTATTGGAAAAATAAAATAAATAAAATTTAATAAAAATTAACTTGAAAATATTTTTCATTTCTAAGCACTCAAATCCTCACTTGAGTTGTTGGTGCACTGAAAAATCAATATAAAATGAGATTGTTTTTCTGCTATTCAGAGATACAGCTATTACTTCACATTCATCGGGCATTATGATTAATAACAATAACAATTTAATCTTTTTATAGAAAGAATCTATATCTCAAGAATTATAGATATGCATCAATGATGTTTAAGAATGAAAACTTACATGGTTAAACCTTCGAGTAAAGGCGACTACATTTGGTGCTTTTTCTAATTTTAACTTAGTGGTCCAAGCACAACTTGTTAACTCCTAAAAACAAATATGCAGTAATAAATAAATAACAAATAAATACTTAATCATGAATGCATTAAAAATATCAGCATGTATCAATTGGTACATAACAAGAATAAACTCATAATTATTTTTTCAATTTTTATGTAAGTTTTAATATTTCAATGTTTATATTGAATATTTCCATTATTCTGCATTGATGTGCTGCCATCTTTCTTTTATTAATTTATTTAATAGTGCATATGAATATGAATTAGATATTACATGTATTTGAATCTATGAATTCAGTTCTAATCTTTATAGTTTTATTAATGTGATTTAAACTTACATCTGGCTTAATAGACTTGAATATAGGAAGGTCCATCAGAGTCAGCTGGGCCTACAAGTAAATAAATCAAGCACAAATGAACAAAACTAAAAAATACTCTATATGGTTTTAATATGCAATTTGTTCTCATTCAAAATATTTTTTATTTTCTGTGGACATCTTGCTCCTAATCTTCTTTCTGATGTATTAAACTGCATGCAATGTACAATATTATATTCAATTATAAAAGCAAACATACAATCTTTATAGAATTTGGTGAATATATAAAGAGACTATTTTGTTGTGTATCCCTTTTGGTGTATTCAAAGACATAAGAGAGCCACTGCAAATCTAGCATCACCCACCAATTACAAGATTCCAAATCTACTGAGAATCTCAGAATATGTGGGAATATATTTATACCTGGAAGCGTGATGGATATTCCCTATATCTGTCCACAATATCAGAATTTGGAGACATCCTGTATCTCCCTTGATCCCCGAGGAGTAATCTTATTTCCCACAGAATAAACCCTACATCAAGAAAGTCCCAGTACATAAACTTTATATAAACAACTACTCACTGCAAAATCCTCTGGGGACACCCTAAGTATGTCAAAGACCACAGAGTCATAACTGAGGTTACGTGTAAGACTAGATGATCTATTGCCATCCAATGAGTCTTCACTCTCCGCATGTTGCATCTGGAATTACAACAAAGGTGATATTTTTAACATTAAACAGACTAACACTCTTGATGAAATTCATTGAGGGAAAACTGCATAATCGAGACATTGGCGTGACTGAAATATACAATAATTTGTAAATTACAATTGAGATTGGACATCAAAGGATTGACAGATGATTTTTAAGGGACAGTGATGCAGAGGAAGAGATGATCATTTTGGTCCTGGCAAAGTCCCCACACAGACTGGACAATTTGTGTATTAGATTTTAGATAAGTTATAGCTATTTCATGTGACTAACACATTACACTGATTTAAAAGTATGGTAGTCAAAGAACTGCTAGAACTGACATTTTGTACTTCACTCATTCATTCAGTCATTTGTCAATTGAATGTTATAATATCCAAGGGTTGATAAAAAGGCTATACCCAAGATATATATAATATATATACTCAATAACAAAAAAATGCATCTATTGTGACTCTTTCTGAAGTCAAATTTGAAATCCACTTGATCCCTCGCTATTTTTAACTACTTACCTGATTTAGTAATGATACAGTACTGAACTGGAGCCTTATGGGCAAATTATCTAACTTAACTTATATGGACATGTGTCTTTTATGATGATCGGCTTGCATCAAGTCTGTAAAATAACTCAGCAACAGATTTGGTATCGTCGTGATTTCTACAAAATCTTTTTTTGTAAATTTTTCAAAACTTTTTTCCTATTTCATTTGCATCAGCTATTACTTTATCATCTCCTCCCAAATTCACGCCCGGTGATCGTACAAAATGGATGGATGGGGGATTAGGCGCCTTTTTTAATAGATCTCATATCTTAGAAGGGTATCAGTTCAAAAAAATACGAGATGGCCTAATATATTTTGCCACGCAGTGTGCCTATTCATTTGGCAACTCAGTTGTAAATTTTTTCTTGAAAAAATAAATCTTCCAAATTTGTTGAGTTTTCTTGCAGAAATCGCCTTATACCCCCCCCTCCATCCATTTTGTACGATCACCGGGCGTGAAATTTCCCTCCATTCAAAAATGTTGTTGTCATCCAGACTTGATGCAAACCTGTGAATGAGGTGGGCTTCTACAATACCTTGGAGTATAATCTGTAGGGGTCTATGTATTCAGGCTTCTCATGAAAATGTGTCTGGAATATAGGGGAAGAAGAAGAGTCTAAATCATCAACATTATTTCTGTACAATTACATTATGGTGCAATCAAATAGTGACATCAGGGGAAGATACAGAACAAAAGGAGTAACATGGAATGAATGTGGGAGTGGAATGCTAAATGAATAGAACCTGTAGAATTGAATACCCCTATTGCGAATCTTAGCCAGATGTTCAATGAAACAGACTTAATGTTGGCTGAAATTAGTAACACTTAGAATATACAAAAGGTGACATCATAAAACATGGCATTCATTTCCTTCTTAAATCCTGGAGAAGCTGTGTGATGAACAGGTTAAGGTTTAAGCATGATAGATTTATTTTTACGCTTGTTTAATTAGTTCAACATTATGTCATGGTGTATTCTCTCCCCTTCTTGAGGAAGATGAGGAAGAACTTGATGCAAAACTCTCTCGAAATATTTCCAATTTTCAATGGCTTACAAACTGATTTTCAACTGTAGGAACTTTCAAATCCACAAGACAATACAGAGCATTGATGCTCCATTTACTAGTATATAAACATTTTGATAATATACCAGTCAACTTTCTTATCCAAACTCATCTCAAGGTGAACACTTCCACTGAGCAAATATTGTTATCATCCATTAACTCACATACTGAGAAACGTGAAATGCGAACACTTGCACATCTGAACACTTTTGGCTGTCCCAGTGGTGTAAACTGTAAGCTAAGTGCTGATGGGAAAATAGAGCTGAAGGAGGGATATAACTGGAGATGGAGGGTCTATTGAGAATATATTATATAAATAAGGGATTTCTTATAGATCCTCCATACTCCATACATGGCTACGTTAAATGAAATTCCTTACCTCAGAGTAAGAGCGTTCATTTGGATTGGCATGTGGGTCGGTCCTTACCCCCGGCTCCATGTCTCACCCTCCAGCCCCTGGGCACAGGTAGATCTAAGAAAATCCCTCGTCATAACCACATCTGCAACACACAGATAAATAACAAATTAACATACTATTCAATGAATGATTAGCCTTTTCAATAGTTTGGTCTTCAAAAAGAACTTCATCAGTACTCGGAACATCCAGGTACTCAAATATACCAAAAATGTGCTTATAGAAACATCTCAATGCACATTTTAATTCAACCTTCAAGATCATTGGTTAAGGGATAGAGTACAAATGTAAACAATGGTAGAAGAAGAAAGTTATTTTCATTGGGAGAGATTGGGTAAATCATTAAATCACAATGAAATTAACTTTGACACCATCATTATGTCACATCTTAAAGACGTAAGGAGTATCATTACATTATAACTTCAGTTCATTTTAGAAAAAAAACGTAATTACGTAGCATCATTTAGGGCTTAGGGCGGTGTCAGAAGTAACATTGATCGTTTATATTGTTTCGGAAATGGAAGATGGAAAACTGTTTCTGCTATTTCCAAAAGTAAGCCAGAATTGCTTTTTCCCATGATCTCCTGGTGAAGTCATAGGCCAATCCAGGGTTCATTTTCCATCAATACAATTTCAGTAAGGCTATAAACTTTGTGGTAACTTTATCCTATTTTCCAATTAATAATTGATGCTAGTTTTTACTGAAGTTATGCAGAACCTCCTTAAAGTACAAGAGGAATGTGTTTAATACAGCAATACTTCTAGTCTGACTTCTAGGCCTCAATTATACCAAAGCCAGTAAGCTGTGTAGAAACCAATTACAAATCATAATAGCTTCAATCTCTCATCTATTTCTATTAGCTGAAACAAAATGAGCCAATTCACTGAACGTATTTATAATCACATCCAAGGACATTGTTTTGCTCATTCTCGGACATCTGCCAATATCGATATGGCGTCTGAAAATCGCAAGCCTCACCCTGGAAATGTTATCTCTAAAAACATTGTTTGACATTGTTTTGTGCATGTGGAATCATTCTTTGAGATAGGGGGGGGGTTCTTATAACCAGTACAGTGATTTTGTACTAAATGTACTTTTTCCAAAGTGTTTTTTGTTTTTTCTCTTCTGGACCTCATGTTTATGTTTTCCTGATAATATCTCTATGACTACATAGAAAAACTCTAAATCCCAAAAATGATATTTGGCAACTTACCTAGTTTTAAACCTGCAAACTTTTTTAAGTCGGATAATTTAAAGTAATGATAGTTTATAATGAGTATTCCAAATACTGCTATGAAAAATCACTTATAATTCATTTGGCACATATGCTGTAAAATAATAGTCCTTAAGAATTTACCAGTTTGCATTCAGGACAAATCTAAACACTTTTTTATAAGGTCAGTAATTATGCAGTATTATATTCTCAAATATCCATAAGCCTGTTGCTCCGTTCCAGAAAAAAACAGTGTCAAATTTCTAGCATTCCTTCACCAAACTGAGTTGTAAATGTTTAATAACGAATGTGATTTCCTCCAAAATTCTGCACTAATTTTGCACTATTTTTCACTCCATCAGATAACTTCTGCTTCTGGATGAAATATATGTGATGCGTGAGTATGGTTTTACATGTTCATTACATGCAGCAATATGATGATCTATCCAAGGTCAGGATTCCCCATCAAATAAAATTATTGGCACTTAACTAAACTCAAACTTCTTACTCTGCCAAATATGATTGAAATGGAAAGTTTAAAAGGAATAAGCAATAACTACAATGCAAATGAGGTTTAAGATATTCCATATGTCCTTTAAGTTGACAGTTTAATGAAATGCCAGAATTTATGAAGTGTAACACCTCCACAGATATGTATATATTTGGGGATGATCCATTTGAGATCAAGTGAGAAAAGACCAATTCCAGAAATATTGTATTATATACCGTGCATTGGCTTTATAAATGTCTATCCTCATGATAATCATATCTGTACTTAGAATTTAAATCATTAAAAATATTTAAATTGAACAATCCTGACTCGCTCTAATGATTATGCATTAGTAGATTAATTTTACTTTAAAGCCATTTATGCCTCCATTTGAAGATTCTAAATATTTTGTTCCACTTTATTCAACTGAACTGTTGGTTTCTTAACTGTTGGTTTTGTTTCATTAGACATTGTTGCTGCCTAGCCTAGCCATGTGATAGAAAGTAGAAAGGGCATGCCTGTACCCTGAGGTCAATGTACTATCCTCTTACAAGGATCAGTCATTGTAGTCCTCTGTTTACCCATATTTAAATACCATATAGATAACATCATGGAGACAGTTTCTATGGTTTGCTTATTCAAATATAAGAAGAGCTTGGAATTCAATCCAAAGTCTCTCTTTATGTAAAGCTCCCAAGAGCTCTCATTTCAAGGGATAGTATATAGACTGTGGATCCCATAATGCTAAGAAATTACTCAGGAATGATTGGCTCTGATTGACTTCGCAAGTTTAGATGTTTAACCTTATGTTCATATTCAAACTGATCTATAGAGTTTCAGTATTTATAAATATTTCAACGCCATTCTTCCAAAGGGCAAACTACCTACATAACAACTTTCGAATCCAACCTTCACTATGACTTATGCCAAAGGATCATCCCTTATCCAAATACATGTAGTAAAGTATGTCCAGTTATTTATTAGTACAGATAATATGGATTATGATTGCCTTGTTATGTCCATAAACACAGTTATATCCCTTCAAAATATTTCACTTAAGAAATAACTTAAGTTACCCCCTCCAAAGCAGATAATTTTAAAGAAGGTCAAATAAAGTAAAATTGCCCCATGATGTTTGCTTCAATGCACATTGTAATGAGTGGTATACTACCTCCAAAGCAGTTCAGTGTTTTAGGCTAAGTTGTGAAAGCTATCTTAATTAAGACCTTACTGTACTTAATGGTTCACTGTACAATGGAAATCATAATTTATATGTCTCATCAAGGGGTACTCAGACCTTCCTAAATTTTACTGATCAGGGTTAACCCAACTATGCCAGTTTTACCTAAATCTTAAGCTGAAACCAAATCTAGCATATTCCCATGAAAAATATTATTCATAAAATATTTTCTCAGTTCTGGCAGCACAGAGTTTTAGACTGTATACTGTCAAGTTCATTTAAAATTAATGTATCCTTTTACCTATACCCCATTTCTTGTGATCCTTTCACTGATAATAATTACAATTACCCATCAATATATAATAATAAGAATATACTGCAAAAACAAAGCTCTTAAAAGTAACTGTCAATCATGATTTTGGAGCGGAAAATGACATATACAAACAGAGCTGAAGTAAACCTGTACTTTTAAGTAACATGTTAAAGAGAATGGGAAGCTGGCCTTGAACTAACATACCAACCATAAGGAGCATTCATCACATAAGATAAAGGAACATTTATCAGTTTCTTACTCTGTTCAGGATAAATACAATCTTACTGATGATTGCTTCTCTTTTTTCTCTTTCAAGAGCTTGTTGAAGTAAGTGTCCCAACTACTGACCACCTATGGTATATATTTCCAGGGATGCTGCATAAGGCCCAAGATAACTTCATAGCCACCCAGCCCGATTTCCAAAAATTGAGTCCTAATTTTAAAGCCTGCTTTTGAAAATGAGGCTCAAAATTAAAAAGTTGGACATTAAATTTTCGGCTCATTATTATATAACATAGCTCATTATTAATATAACATTTTTATATCAGATGAATCATGACCCCAAATAAAATGAGACAAAATATCCAACCGAATCAGGGACCAAAAAAGGCGATAGAATAACAAGGTAATAACATGACAAAATGCAACCACATGATAAGCTGCTGCAAACAGTTACAAAAGTGTGACAGTTTGTTACAGATGCCATGACAACTGGACAACAAAATAATGGAGCTACATATGCTTTAGTGATTCTAAATCATGATATCTGAGGAGATTTACCTTATCATCTAAATTAGACAAATCAGAGATAGTATGATATTGAAAGTTTCATGATGATTAAGATGCTAGGAAGATAGCTAGATGTCATAATAACAAACTTAGATATCAAATTATTCCACAAATATCTCTCAGGAAGGTTAGTGTCAGAATCCCAAGTACTGTATCTCATTTTGTCTGGTACAGTAAAACCTGTATATCTGAACACCTGGCTAATCCGAACACCTTCCAATTTGAACACTTTTTTTCGGTCCCATTTTTTCTTCCCATTGACTCCCATGTTAAAAAACCTTGAAATCTGAACACCTCCTAATTTGAACAGTGAACAACCAGATTTGAAAAAGTGACCTGTCTAATCTAAACATTTTTATCAGAAATCAAATGTCTGGACATTTCAATTATAGCCAAATATTGAGTCAGTGTTATAGTTGTTATTTATCTTTACATATACAATGTAATCAAAGAACCAATATTGTCCTAACTAACTTATTTAGTCTCAGTGACATCCCTAATTTGTGGAAAACAACAGGATGTTTTGGAAAGGTGTGAATACATGAGTTAATTGGTTTATCCTTATTGTAAATTAACTGGATATTTTTGATTTGGATTATGAACAGGTCTTGACTGTTTTATATCCCATGGTTCTGTTATGATAGCTAAGATTCAATCAGCAAATGTTTTTTAATCACAAGGACAACAAAGACGACATTTGCAGACAAGATTTAGAAAAGAACTGAATGTTTTTGATTTGGATTAAGAGAAAGGTGAGAATCTGGGAGATAATTGGTTTATCCTTATTGTAAATTAACTGGATGTTTTTGATTTGGATTATGAACAGGTCTTAACTGTTTTATATCCCATGGGTCTGTTATGATAGCTAAGATTCAATCAGCAAATGTTTTATAATCACAAGGACAACACAGACGACATTTGCAGACAAGATTATATCACAAGAAAGAGAAAAAATTCAACTTTGTAATATCCTATCACTAAAATGTCTCCTAAAAGGCATACATCTGACATCCTGAATGCCCTTGATATTTTGAAGGATTATACATCATCTTGAATGAACACTCATGAAAAATTCTTTTTACTTGAAGAGGATATCTAC